AAACAAAATTACATGTGTGTACCCTATGAATATTTCTAAGTGTTGCCTATAAAATGTAGCATTTATTCCATTTTAGATTAAAGGTATTCAGGGATTTGTGACAGGGTTAAAAAACTAGCCTGGGCATTTAGAAAGTTTGAGTCGAAGCTTTTGGAGTAATTTTTGCTATTATAATTTAGCATTATATTACATTCTACTAAAAATCACTTGCTAGAAATCCTGAAATAGCTAACTGTTACCAAAGAAAAAAGATAGACACTTTATCACAAACAAGCAAACGAAAAACAGCAAGAAACTGGAGAAACCCTGAACTGTCATATAGGATATGTAAGTGTTAGGCTTCACTGGTAAAGATTCTTGATTTGGTAATGAGCAATTTCATTTAAACCTATTGTCTGCTTTCACGGCACTAGAAAATTGAGATCCTTCCTATCTACCTTTTTATTTTTTTTAAAGAAAACTTTAACCACCTTGTGTATGAACGTATACATCTTGCCTTCGTGAACAGGGTGCTTCACCAGCTCTGGGCGGACTAGTGTCTACGGGCAAGCGGCTGCCCTAAAGTGTGTGTACCCGCTTTCATGCTATGTTCTTCCTGACCTTTTGCCAAAGAAAAACATGCTTAACTACAAAGTACATTAATTTTACCATCTTCTTGACTGAAAGCCTAACTTTCAATTGTGTTGTCAAAGGATAGTATAAAACAATGGAATAGCATTTTAGCATTCTAATAATTTGGTAGTTTCATTTTTAATACTATTACAACTTGTATTAAAGGGATTTGTACTGTTCTTTTCACCTTTTAAGGTCTTTTCCGTATTTTTCAACATAAAAGGGGACAAGATGACATATTTATACATGAAGTACCATTAACTGAAAATGAGATGACACTGCATTCACAGGCTTCGGAGAATGTGTAGTGAGTTGCATAGAAATTCATCAACTTAACTGACACGGTACCATCATGACTTACAGATTAGCAGCTTGACAGGTATCTTCAAAGTTTTACAAAATCATCTATGAACTGTACGGCAATGAGAACGTTTACAGATAGTAGCATATTAAAGCTCTATCTAACAAAAATACACGACCCTCCCCCATCAAAGAAATGGCTGTATTTGTTTGAGCCACACAACTATCTCTATGATGATTAAATTAGCTGTTATCACTATTCTATAAAATTCATTTATGTAGATATACTATGGGAATATATAAATAGGGCACTTTGACAGTCTGATTGGTTAATAGCGTATTGGTATAACTATATCTTTTATAACATATAACTCATTTCAGCCCCAAGTTTTAGAACTTTAAAATAAATAAAATGTAATTTACAAAAATAAGCCACTATTTACAGACATTGGAATTCATCCTGAGAACTTATTATTCAGGAGAACTTTCACAGGAAAAAAAAAAAATTACCAGTATGTGTGAAATAAAAATGTACCTCAAGTGTAAAGAAGTCATACGTGGAGGTCAATTTACCTAAGTTGCAGCCAAGAAAAGCATGAAAGTATTTAATAAATCTTAAATCGACTTGCATGCAAGAAATGAATGAGATATAACTTCTCAAATGCCACGGTCATTCTCCCTTAAACTTCTTGTATTAATGGAATACTCTGGCTGCATTTTGGAAGAGGGTGAGAGAAAGAACACCTCAGGAAAACTCAAGGATGCTGTCTCATCTGTCCCTGGGGGTTACAAGAGGAGAGAGGCAGGGTGCACTGTCATTATTAAATGGCTTACTTCGGACTACTCTGAGAAACAGAGCCACTCTACCTTTGGCTTTATCTGGTTGAGCCCTCCCCCCACCCCACCACCATCCCACCCCAAAAGAAACAGTGGCTAAAACACTTTAACACTTTATAAAGGAAAATGTCCAGTTAAACACAAATGTGAATAAAGACAAAGCCTCATCAGACTCTTTGCTTTATAATGTGACCATAAAACTACCCACTTAATAGAAATTAAAAGAAATGGTTCAACAAAGAATCAAACTGGTTTTTGGGGGGTATATCATCACAACGAATCTCTTTCCTCTTTACGCCGTGAGCAGACAGTGATTATTTTGGAGAAGGAAAAATAAGAGTGTGGAATTAGTAATGCAAGAGGCTGAAAGGCAAGTGGCAAGACTAGAAGAATGCCTCAAACCAATGCTACTTTGTTCCCGTCTCTACTGGCACCTACCCCCCAAGGTAAAAGGCCAGAATAACCAAAGCCATTTTAACAGTAGTGTGCGCAATTGTCAGCTGACAAACAACACAAAAACAAGTCACGCTATGTTATCTGTGGTCACGTTCTTCAGGGTTAGTCCAGTAACTCAAGACTTTACATTCTTTTGTCTTTATTTGTTTATTTTAATTAAACACGAAAAGGTTAATAAACAGACATAGTCCAGAGTTAGTAGGTTGGTATTATAACATTTATTAAAATAATGCTATGGGTTAATAGAAACAGCAAAGAACCAAAGAATTAAAATGCAAGCTATGTAAAATCCCAACTAAAACCCAAAAGTGTCTAATGTATTCATTCATTAGCTAACTAAAAGCCCAAGAAAGACAAGACACCCAATATAATAAAGTACTGCAAAACAATTGGCAATTTTCAGTTATCAAAATTGTGGATTCTGCATTTTGTATCCTTTTCTCAATCAAGAAAAAAATTCTTTTTGAATGTTATATAACATACATATAAAACAAGATAGAAAAATACATTATAAACTTGTAACAATGGCTGTAAATACATTATCTTACATGTTTCTCATAGGCAATAGGTTGGTTATGATACATACATAGCATGAAACTACTAAGATAATAAAGAATTGACAAAATACATGTCAGCTGTACGGTAACATACAAGCGACACTCCCATCTACCCACGCTAAAAAATTACATAATACTGTCAGAAAAGAAGTCTTAAAAACTACATATTTTAATAAGAAATAAATTCAATAAAGAATGATAATACTGAGAACCAAGGCATTCAGAGATTTCAAAAGTCATGCTTTTTTTCAGTTGATCCAAAATTTTATCAACTAAGTTTTCAAAAGTTTGTTCAGAGCCAACATTACTCATAAATGTCACACATTTATTTCATACATTTACTTTCTTCCCCATAAAAGACCTTTGATAAACATCTAAAATGTCCAGGTACAACGTAGTTGAGATGAAACTGGATCAAATACTGGTATTGTTTTTAAACTACTGTCACCTCAAGTGTTCGAGTGTCGCAAATTTATTCACCAACCAAACAAAATAAAAATCAAAATGGCACAGCATATATTGTAAATAAACCAGAACAACTGTATGTGTAACAGAAAGACAAAGCAGCGGCACATTAAACCCACGCTAGCTGAATACAAAATAATGAATGTCTATTGCATAGTAAATAAACTGAAAACGGCTTCCAAGTGAGACAAGAGGATGGAGGAGGTCACCACGAAGGTGCTTCCGAGCTTACTGCGGACCTGTGACTGGGAAGCTGAGAAGGGGTGCGAGAGGGGATGAGCTGATGAGCGGGGGACCACTGCCACTTGGTATTTGCCATATCCGGTACTGAGCAGGAAGGGCTATTCCTCCCTCCAGGGTTGACCTGGGGTCTGCTCTGTGCACGAATCGCTTCAACCACAGAACTGACTCAATTTCAGGAGAAACTGGGAGCTTAAACTCACATGTAGCTGAGCATTTCTATGCACAATGATGCCGGTCTTCTTCATTTTTTTCAAGTTAAAAAAAAAAAAAGGTGTGTGGGGGCTGGGGGGCTTCTTGGGTTATTAAAACCACCAAAGATATGGACTGCCCAAGTGATCTGGTACGGCAGAAAGAAGTCCGATTAGACCTGGGCCATTAAAAAATACTGTTCTCCAGAATGAAATCACGAAGGTTCATTTTTGTGAAGAAGTTTGCTAGGGATACTACTATCTTCAATGTAGTAAGAAAAAATCCAACATACCCCTCCTTCTCTGAATAAAATAAAGTTCTATGTTTGTCTGTAAACTGATGTTCAGATCACACATAATTTTTATCTCAGAACCTTGTGGGCTACCATTAAATATCACAATAACCAAAAGTACTCAATAATGATTTTAAAAGAATGATGTTTTAAAACTTGTCAGACATTAGAAAAGGTATCAAACTTTTTCACAGTATCAGATTTGGCAAATTTCTATCAAGGTAATGTGGCAAAAATCATATAATTCAAACCATCAACTCATTTGTCTCCCCTCAAATCTTTCACATACTGGGCGGGCGACTGAGTAACATGCATTAACTTGTATTCTGAGGGAGGAGCTGATCTTACAAGACACTTGACTAAATGACCATGAAGGAAAATAAGGCACTTTCTTTTCTTTAGACTTATTCCAATACTTAAAAAATAAAAAAGAAAGACAAAAAGGCTCTTTTGGTCTTTTGTTTCTTGACAACCACCAGAAAAAATCATTTAATGAAATAAAGGGTTTCTTTGTTCTTTTTCTTTTTTTTTTTTATAACACTTGAAAGTATAAAATGCTACATTTCCAAAAATATATATATTTTTTTCTGCACCAGCACCCTTGTATAGTAAAAGTATCTACTTTTTGTTCATTTGTTTCAATGCACTACACTTTATCTACAATTTCATTACATGTATACAGCAAATAGGCAAGCATGGCTTTTACATCCTTAATGATTTTTTTTCTATACAGGGAGGTTTAAAAAAAATATTTGAACAGTTTGCCCAGTAATGTGACACATAATGCATGTACCTTGTTCTCGTATAGTTTTTAAAGGAGGTTGTAAAATAAAGGTTCAGTAATTTTAACTCAGATATTTATCTTTTTAAAAATAGTGTTGCAGTTTTGCTCTTTGCATTACTTCTCAAAATTCCTTGTCAAGTTTTTTCTCTCATGGCACACTTCTAATACTTCAAATTTTGGCAGGCAATATAAAAAAGGCTGCAACTTCTGCCCTTTGAGGGCACTGTAGTGACTAAACAGCATATCAAATTTTGAATACTTTTTGAAATCACTTCACCAATGACATCCCTGACCAAAGGTTCATGCATGATGCATCATCACACAGTACATTCAGAGAGCTGTGACTCGCTATGAGAAGAAGGTTCCTAGAAGTCTCTCACAGTAACTGCCTCTGTCACTGAGTAGTTAAGGGCCATCTGTCTCCCCTTCTGAAGTGAGGCCTTCTTACCGTTCGCTGAGGGTAGGGCATGAGAAGATGATCAGTGCTGTGGGATGAATTGGGCCTTATTGCTTTACTACTATTCAGTGCAGGTTCTAGAACCACTTTCACCCAAACAGAAAGAAAAACCGAAAGCTGAACTGGAGGACAACAATTTCTTTGTCTTTTGTTTGGTTAGATGGTAAGACGAACGGACAAGTGCCTCAGCTCGCTGCACTGACGACAGGCAAGCAAAGGCGATTACCAGTTAACTGATCAGCAGGCAGGCATGGTCAGGTCATCATTGGGTGAAGAGTTCAGAGGTCAGAAGGTCATAGGTTAGTTGCCGGTGGCGGCTGGGTGGTTAGAAACAAAAAAAAAAACAAAAAAACAAAAAAAAAACAAAAAAAAAAAAAGAAAAGAAAAGATAGAGAAGAGATTAGTTTCAGCTAGTGACGGCTTAATGACAACATGAAAAACTAATCACAACTAATAAAAAAAAAAGCATGTTTAATTCTGACAAACTGACTGACACCATCTACAGAATACAATAAAAATCATGACAGTTTCATATCATGATTTGAACAAATGAAGGAGAGCCCAATCCCACAAAAAAAACCCCAAAAAACAAAAAAACTGGTTAACAAGAAAAAATAGAAATAAATACAACTAACAACTAATAGTTAGTAGCAGTCAATGAAGGAAACTGGAGAACAACAACAATGAATAGGTTTGATATACAGAATTCTGAAACAGTCAGTGCAGTTATCAGTATCTGACTGCTATTAAGCATTAGTACTCTCTCAGATGCAAGCATTAAAGCAACTATTAATGAATGGATGTGATTATTAATAACTGATGATTAACAGAAATGAGTCTAAAGAAATTTAAATTTCTGTGAACAATTTGGTTCAACATAAACTCTGGGCCAAACAAGGTTTCTTTTGTTCAATAAATGTTTATTGCTTTTTCAATTATTCTATTTACAAACAACATGGAATTTCTTGGCCTTATGATACAAAGCAATACTAAACTGTAGTCTAGCAGTGTAGGCAACATCATGGGAACCAAAAAAAGGCCAGGCCTTTTGCGCTAGCCAACACTTTCTAGTTGAAAATACTATTTTACACATATAGAACACTTATAAAATGCACTTGCATGTAAACACTGTAAAATCCTGCCATTTAAAATTCTATACTCAAAAAGCTCTAAGTACATCAAAAAATAGAAGAAATTTCTAACTGATACCAATAAGGCATTTTAAAACTACAAACAGCTTTCTTTATTCAATTTCAAAGCTAATACTCTGCAAATACAATAAAATCTGACATTTCATATACATTCCTGCTTTATATTTTATATTTTAAAAGAAGCCACCTGTAAATACTATTTTCTTTTGCAAAACAACAAACAGAACAAAAAAAATTAAAAAATTACAGTAAAACATAAAGTAGTTCTCAAGTGGAAAGTTATCATCCCCAGTGTCCTCGAGTTGTTCCTTCCTTATAAATCAACCTTTGTCACATTCTGCTTCACCAAACTTGGTCCACTTAACAGTAGTATGATTTTTAAGACTCATTCAACAGCTTAATTATTTCTACTATATTCTGAGGTTTGAGAGAATTTTCTGTACTGTTGCCACTGTGACTAAGGCAGAGGAGATGTGAATGAAAAAAATATTCAGTGCAAAGGTAGGTTCCATGCCACTTCATAAATCATAACCCAGTAGGTATAATGTTCACAGAGTTATTTGAAATGATCTATATAATGGACTGGTTTACTTTCATATAACAAAAATGCTTTCTAGAGTCTATCATTTAGGATAGTTTATAAATACTACAAAAATACTGTATCTTCAATGAGACCAAATCTTCCCTGAATTTCTTAAAAATAAGTGGAATTTAATTTAAAATAAAAACTGCTACTCCAAAATTAAAGAAAATAAATATTTCACACGATGTAGTCATACCACTTCATAGGAAGTACTCCCAAAATACAGAATCTTAAAGCATTTTTGATATTACTTTAAATTTTGATTAAAATTGCATTTGCATTAAGTTTCTTATACAAATTATATAAATGATGATTTTTATAAAATCACCACTCAGAAAAACTCTGATTATTTTGTGTGTGTGTGTGTGTGTATGTGTGGAATATATAAACAAAGCAAATTACCACTCATATAAATATACCAGTACACCTAGATAGAATACATCCTCTGCCAAGTCCTGGCCTCCTACAGTACACACAGGTGTATCAGCTGTGCAAAATCACTTATGGTTCATTACAACTAAAAAGTCAGTTGGTCTTTTACAGGCTTTAAATTCAATTTAGAAATATGTGTAGAAGTGGGCTTATTTTTAGTAAAGAGCTAGATATATCTGTCAACCATGCAGTACTCTAAACACTTATATAAAATTACATGGTTATATGTCCAAGGGTTGAGTTTTCTTGCATTAAATGAATGCTTATATTATTCTTCCCTTCAAAAATTAAAAAAAAAAAAACAAAACCTCAAAAATAGAGAAAACAGTAGTATCATAAATAATTTAAATGAAGGACTTCGGACATCTCCCTTAGACCCAATGAGTGCATACAGTGATAGTAACAGCAGTATACAAGTATTCTGTTATTTAGAGAAAATAAAAAAGGTAGCATTTCGGTTTGCTGACATTGCATTTTGGATAAAATGACAAGACTAATCAAAAACACATATAACTACAAAAGAGCCACGCATGGAATGTGTTGTCATTTCCAAATACTATAAAATCTTCCTAGTATTTTCAACTATCTCAAGGCACTGCATTGAATAACCAATAATTACTGTGTTAAAACAAAATTAAGAGAAATCTCCTAAAAGGGGCAGGAAGGGAAAGATTAATAAAATAAAAACTACTTTAAAATACTCTTTCAAACTATTTCAGACATTAACAGTATGAAAAAAAAAAAAAAGCTTCAAATTATTCATGGAATTATCCGGTTTCCTTAAATCCAAAGTAGCTTAAAAAAAACTTTCTTCCTTCACTAGGAGGCTTGCTCTGCAAGAAGGTGGTGCATACACTTGTACATGACACACCTACAGGGTGTATTATTGTCACAGATCATCACTGAGCTCGGGGCCTAATTATACTGTTCACTGAATAATCACAAGTAATGTATGTACTAGTTAGAAGTCTTCAATTCAAGACTCTTTAATTATGTATGATGCTAAATAAATATCATCCATATCTTTGGAAAGTATTTTATTCTGATGTGGACAACAGCTGTGTCCAGTATTTATCATCAGGAATCAGAAGAACCATGTGAAGTAATAGGTTGTTCATAAGTTCAGAGATGATGTAGTACAGGAGTGTAAATTCCATCACTTTTCCCACTAATTATTAGAGAGTCTGATCAACTTAATTAGTAATAAATGTGCCATAACAGAAGCTTGAGAAAAATCTTTTTCTACCTTGCTTCAGATTCTTATCCTGTAATGACTAACTTAGAAAACAATTCAATGTCAATAAACCGAAAATATTACTCCTCAAAAACATAAATAATTTATAAAAGGGTCCAAGGGCATTTACAGGACACAAATTACAAATGCTGAAAAGGAGAAAAATGAAGACTTATTTCCCAGTCACAGGTTAGTCAAAAAAGCATATTCAAAGCTGGATTCATGTCTCCATAGAACTTTAAGAGATAGTTTACCTTCAGATAATATATTTTAGCAGCAAATGACAAAATCAAAGGATCCATTTTGGCAGGATAATATAAGAATAAAAGGGAAGTGATTTTCTCATTTATTAAAAAACAAAAACAAAAACAAAAAAAAAAACCACCAACTGCATCAAAATTATCTTCACAGTCCTTACTTTGTTGATTTCAGCTAAGTGCCTGACATGTATGACCTCATGTTCACACAGTGGCTCAAATATCTTATGAAAGAGGAAAATGGAAACTAAATCTTCAGTTTTCTCCGCAAGGACACAGGAGGCATATATTCCTTTACTTCTCTCATTAAAGCACCATCCGCTCAGTTCTTTTTGCAAAACCAACCCAAAATTTCAGAACAATTAAAAGGTAAATTTTAGCAAAAATTATGACTGAAAAATAATTAAGGTGACATCAAAATTTAATAGCTCCCCAAATGGACTAATTTATGTTTTAGTAGGAATATATCACAGTACATACTAATATAGGATTTAATAAGTTAAAATAGGAAGGGAGCAAAAAAAAGAAAAAAAAAGAAAGAAAAGAACAAAGAAAAGAAAAGAAAGAAAAAAAATCCCAACCCTTAAATCTGTCAATTATGACAAATCAATTTAGAAAAAGAAATGGTGTGCAGGTAAGCAGTTATATTTTTCCATCAGGTGTGGTGTTGCAAATATTATGGACACCCAACGCATTTCTTATAAACAAGAACTGCAGAACTAAACTAACCTCGGTCTGCGGTCACAATCCTTTGGTAAGGATGGACACGCATATCGTGCCTTCGAACTTTAGTAGCCACCGCACCTAGTTAAATTGCAATTACCAAGACAAAGTTAGAAAACATTCACAAGGGAAAAAAAACAAACATTAACAGCAGGTTTATCAAAATGGATTTCAAATATTCATTTACTACAAAAGTTTCATTTTAAGAAACACGTTAAGGCACAGTAGTTTTAAAATTAACCATAGCATGTTGTGTATATATGTGTCTATTAATATTGCATTCATTTCAAATCTCTTGGCCTTAACCTATTTTATCCATTCATTCACAATCCCAAGTTACAGTATTTCATCAACTCTATTAGATCCAAACATATTTAAGCTTTACTATTCACATATTCACTGAAGTGCCTTTCTTGCAGCAGGACCACTTAAATAATGCCATGTTTAATACTGACAATTATCTGCTAACCTTAAGACCACTTCCAGAGTTTATCACTTAAAAAGGTTTAAAAGCAATTCTTAAAGCCTACAGATTGTGGTTTTAAACTTTGAGTCAATAAGTATGAACTGCAATGAATTAGGTGATTAGTAAAGCAAACAGTATAGTACACTTAGCAGTCAGTATACTACTATACACTCCTTTATAAATTACCGTTACTTTGTAAGATTACAGACTAAACCAAATTATTAACATACTTTTACTTTCTATCAGTGTGCAAAAAGTGCAAGTAAGTCACTGACTGCTAGGCTAAGCTCCCCCCCCAACCCCCCCACGGAGGCTGCTGAGACTAAGCATTTGTTAAATTCAGATCTGATGAGGGTTCAGTTAAGACCGTTCTTGAATTCTTAGCCTTTCGTTGGGAAAGCCATACCTAAAGATAAAAGGAAGGGAATTAAAAATTAGTCATCAATGAAGATTTGATGCTAATACCAATCTCCTCACTACCACCAACACACATGTCTGCATCTGTTTTGAAGGGCACTGCTTATTTTAAAATAATATGATGTGAGGCTTGATATATCATGCATGTTATCTGTGTGCAAATTTATTATAACTTAGCGATCTGAAATAATTTTCTCAGTTCTCCAAGTGCTCAATGTCATGTTTTACTGCTTAGGTGGCAAAGCGAGAAATAGGACTGGTCATTTTGGTCATTTAGTTTATGCCAATTAGGTATCTGTACATTGTGCTTTTGTCAGTTTAATAATTAAGTATTATAAATAAAAACTTCCCAACATAAGAAAAAACACAGTGCTTAAAATGAGAAACTGCAGTGCCTCTTGCTGTTTCTAAGCAGTAAACTGGTCCATCACCCCTTTTTCATTTTAGATAAACTAATCTTAGACAAGTATAATTCCACGAGGCAAAATCAGCGAGATCTTGCAGTGAGAGTGCTGGACAGCAGCTGGTGGCTAGAGCGCCAGCCCTGCAGGAAGCAACAAACTCCTCGAACAGACGCTGTGCGTGCAGCAGAGAGGAGCTCTGGGGAGAGGAGCAGGCATGGGGCCACAGGACAGAGCGTTAACAGAAAGGAAAACGTAAACAGGTTACATGTTACATGTTATTTTAAAAATGCTTCGAGAAATGTGCAACAGAAACAAGCCTCTCATAAACAATTCTATAGTATAATTCTGACCTGTGATACTTTATACAATGATTTAGAGATAAACGGAACACATGTACAATAAAACCTATTTGCTCATGAAACAAAAGGCACCTGAGTGCGTGCACACACACAGATAACATACAGAGCATTGTGGCTTTCTTTAATTGAACAACGAATTTTCAAGTTTGAATCTTAGTGTCCGGGTTCATTAAAGACTTCCAAATTTTTATAAATCAGTATTAATGCTGGAAAAAAAACCTTAAAAGATCAAAGTCCTAAGAGTCAACAGCATGCATGCAGCACCAAGGTCATATACAATTCAAGGAAAAAAAGTATTCAAATTCTGTCTGGTAAAACAAAGGGGCAGCACGGAAACAGTTTGTCCCACATTGACTGGTCGTGTTATAACAGCTGCTGTATCCTAGTCCTTCATCCAGCAAGTCAATGGGCTGAAATATCAGGCATGACTGGCATTTCAATCCACTCTATAAAAAAAAGGCATCAGTAATGTCTCTTTCAAGCACACCACTTTTTGTTCATGTAAAACCAAGCTTTCATAGTATGATCTTAACTTTTGCCTCAAATGTGATTCTATAACAATGACTTGGTATTTACTTATCGATTCCATACTGTACTACTGAAACCAGAGGAGTTTCTCTTATGACTGAGATTAACTAGAACTTGAAAAGAGAAAAACTGGGAAACCTGAAGAATCCAATTAATTTACCAGGTCTCTTTCATATTTTAAGTGATCACAAATATTAGAAAACACACAGACAGTAACAGCCGTTTTAAAAAAGATCTCAAAATATTCCCACACAGAAACTTAAAATTTAGCTGACAATTAAGTACCTCCCTAAGACGAAAGGAATCTAACTACAGGCAGTGCAGCTAACGGAGGGAGACAGGCCAAACTCAGAATGACCTCAGTAATGGCACCGGTAAAAAGTATTTTCTGCTTAAAATGTTTATAACTGATTTACCCAAAGTGAATTGGAGTTATCAAAGAGAATCCAAGCAAATTTAAGGAGCAATTCCTTAAAAGGGGAGCCATTAAGAGAGGCCGAAATAAAACAAACTTTAGGCTTCTGTCTTCCTAATGGAAACTTGTCTTGCCTCTCTAAAGCTAATGCAATCATTTCAAAGTCTGAGGCACAGAAGTTATGAAGAAAAATACTGCCAGCCACACAGGGAGAACAACTTACCTAATACACCACTAGGTTCAATAGGATACTCAAGAATTGATGTAGCTGGTGCCAACGTGTAGGGGTACTCATAGGGTGTGTAGATCAAACCAGCTTCGGGCCCCGGAGGAACTATTGCAGCAGTCGGGTGAGGAGTTCCGTTTGGCATGACAGCGGTCTGTATTTGTCTGATCAAAGGCATTATGGTAGGGCCAGCTGGCGTAGGAGTGCGCAGGGCAGCTGGTGGGAGAACAGGCGCAGGCCCAGTGATAATCCTTGGGGCAGCCTGGGCTGTTGCTGCAAGAGAAAAGGCAAGGGCTGCTACAGTAAGCAAAGAAATGTAGGAGGAAGTGTAGAGACAGCAGTATAACATATGGAAAATGAGAGGGAAGTAGGAAAAAGAAAGGAAAAGCAGGAAAGAAGAAAAATAAAAGGAAATCATTAGTACATGCGCTGATCACACAAAATGCCAAAGCACACTGATCAAATGCAAACAGCTTCCCCTTTCCCAGTGTGATTAAGAATACATGTGCAAAAATTAACAAGCCACTGTAAAAAATTAAAAAAAACAAAAACAAAAAATAAAAAACAAACAAAAAAAGGATGAGACCATTAAAACAGGTTATATTTAGTTCATATATTTGATATATCTATTTTTTAAGATCTCATGAGACTAAAGATACATGCAGAAGCACATGAAAACACTTGCATTAAAAGATGTTAAAAATTTTTTGGAATTGGAGTCCACAGAAATACAGTTTTGGCTAATTTCTAAAAGGATAGCTTAAGTTTCAAATTAAGAAAAGAGTAACTTTTATGTATTAACCGACTAACTACTAGTTTTATATATATTTCCTGCATCTGTAATGAACTTCATAGAAAAATATTAAAAAATGTCCCACTCCTAAATATAAGACTGTTAATGATCTACTCCATTTTGTAAAGCAACCACTTCTGAATCCACTCAAGTGCCTCTACTTTGGAAAGTTGGCTAGGACTTTAAAATTCTACTTCTTTAAAAAAAGAAAAAGCTAGTAATTTAAGTAGAAGATTATGTTCATTGAAAGACTTGTGAAGCTTTAATTCCCTCACAATGTAAAACAGCAATCTTCTTCAAGTTTATGAAAGCATCCAGAGATATATCTAAAGGAAAACTGGGATTAAAAATAATATCACCTACTGCTCTCTGTGAACTCATTCACATTTGAAATCAACAGAAAAAAAAACTGGAGGGGAACATTAGCAAGCAAGGTGAAAGGACAGAATATGACAGAAGGGTCGCTGCTTTCAGATACATTCCAAATTAAATTTGCTTAAAAAAAAAATTAAAATTTTTTTTTTGTCTTTTGTATAAATATAACAGAGTAAGCGAGAAGCCTTAAATCTGTAGTTAACAGAATAGGAAATTTCCTGAAACTCTTGAATTTAGAAGTTGAAATTTCACCAGAACAATAAAGTTTATAAACCCAAAACTTAGTTAGACATGCTGACACAGAATAAAGGAGAATGTCCCCAATTCATGAAAACAGTAAAAATGGGACTGTTAGTCCTGTATCAAGTGACCATTATTTCGAATCTCCACTTTCTCACTGATCGTGTGTTGTGTTGCCAAAAGGAGACAGGTCTGTGGACCCAGCAGCTGCTACGGCTATAACCATGGACCTCAGCCTCAGGCTTACGTGATTTAATGTTGGCGTCTCTGTAGGTGCCGTTCAGAATCGCAAGCTCCATGAGCTGCATCTTCTTCAGGCTGTCTTCTCCCTCTGCCTGTGCGTGGAAACACGAGAGCAGTAAGCACTTAAGATGGGCCGCGTCCCTCACAGCCGTATTTACTCACAGACCTTACAATAAGGAATATGTGACTACAGCCACTGGCTTCACTCAAAGGAGGGGGGGACCACAGAACCAAAAGGTGCTGACATACTGATACCCAAAATACCCTCAACCGCCCCTAGCTACAGTCCCGTGTGGACATTTTTTATGTAAACTACACTGATTTATTAAAGTTCCCCCAAAGCTTAGCTAAATGGAGTAAATGTTAGTCAAGATTAAATGTAGTGTATTTATTCTCTTAACCATCATTTTGTAGCACATTCAGAAACTCAATGTGCTCATTAAAGGGGGGGGGGAACCACCAACAATGCACCAAAAAACCACGCAACCCCCTCCCCAGCCCCCACCAAACTGGGATTTTAAACATGTAATATATGACGGTCGTATTCACATATGAGAATTCTGTTTAATTTTCCAAAAAGGAAACTTTAATAAAATCACAATCATAAGAATTTCTAAAATTTGAATATATATTCTGCTCTCTTATGCCAACATTCCTGTCTCCTCTCAATTAGTAAATACTATCATTCTAAAGCAAATCTATCTTTAGGGCCACCGTACGATACACTGTCTAACCCCTGAGACATTTAAAAGTAAAAGCTCTTAACAACTATGTGACAGTGACAGGCTTTAAATACCAGGATTGTCTCTGACCATCAAAATGTTTGGCCATCCCATTTACCTTGGACTTGCCCCACCCTTTCTGTCAATTGTCATCACCCCTGTTCTGGTCATTACTGGTGTATTACCAAAACTACCACAGTATTATGTTAATGGTATCTCTTCTCCAATCAATCTATATATAAGGGTAAGATTAACTGCACAAAACACAACTTTTCTTCTTAATGTTCCTTAACATTTTTATGTCTTAAACCCTTCTTAGTTTCTTGCTATCTAAAAATATAAACCATTTAAGCTATCTGTGGATCTGGGCCCAAATTATCTTCTCAAGGTAAAGCAATTAGTTTTCCACTATTTTTTACACCTTTCTTCTACCATAAATCAAATCAAATCACTCCCTGTTACGCATCTCTGTGCATATTTCTATTTCCCCTATCTTGAATGCTCCTCTGCACTCCACTCTACCCTCCTTCTAAATCCTACCTAATCTCTGCAAACTCCCAACCTAAATGTCACCTTCTCAAAGGGCCCTCCTTAGATTATACTGTTTCTACCTTAATTTATAGTTTCATGTACATCACCACCACCAAAGTAAGTTCCTTGAGAATAGAGCCTATTTCTTATTTATCACTGCCTATATTCCCATTCACCCTGTCCCACCAGTTATTTTTGCTAGTATTTCTAAATGATTGGTACGAAAAATCTTTTTATTTCCAAATCTCAAATGTCTAAATCCTATAGGGTAAGCATTAGCTACAGCAAAAGAAAGCAGTAGATGAAGGTCAATTTACTAAGGTTCATTCCTGAAGACGGTGCTAGAAGACAGTGGAACTATGTACTACTCTCATGTATTATGCGGTATCTAATCCTCGGTACTTAATATTTAAAAACAAAGTAACCCAATGACACTTTTTTCTGACCTGATTCAGAAAGGAGCAGGACCAGATGACAAGCTTCTCTGTCCTCCCTACCTACTGCAACTGTTAATGATACACAAAACTCTGTCCTTGGCACTACAGCAGCAAAAAGGGTACTATTATTTATAGTAAACAGAACTGCTAAATTAGCTTTTAACAAACCACAAAGAATTAAAAAGATGAATGAAAACATCACAAAGATAAAGTTTAAGGTGTCACTGCCAACTTTTCAAAAACCTACTTTGTAGGAAAAAACAGAGGAGACTTGAACGCTTGTGGAATTACTATTCCTTGACCCCTATGAACTTGTACAATGATGATAGAGAAAAAATTAACAGGATTTCTTTGAAAGCCATAGCAATTACTTGTTAATGGTAAGAAAAGCATCAGCAAAAGGGACAAATTAACAATCCATTATCTAACCCAAACCCCTTAAACTTGTTCCCTGAAAGCTAGTGATCTTAAAATCTCATCAAATCATTTCAAATTTAAGTCTATACATAGTAACGGAGTATCAGAAACATATAAATTATACTCTACATTAAAAAAAAAAAAGAAAAGCAATAGGTATACCTTCATCACTTTCAACAGTGAAACAATGGCACATGTTTGAAAACGTCATCAAGTAAGAGAAATAAAGATGGAAGAAGTTATGTGACCTATTGTCTCAGAGAGTGCTGCAGAGGGAAGAGGGACTGGAATGCATGTTTTCACCCAACTGTTTTTTTGGGTAACAATTTAACCACACTCATTAGCTGGTGATGCAGTGTTAAAACAGAGGAGAAAGCCAAAGAGAAAGATGATGGAAGACATACATGTGTGCACATCAAGGTTCCTGCATGTATGTATTGACCTTTTACAGGGTGCAGGACACTGAAAAACAGATGTAGGGTCATAGACCTCCCCCTCGCCCACGCAAAAGGAGAGCAGCACAGCTTTCCCTAGGCAGCCGCAATGGACTCTGCCACAATGACCTCACTGGAGGCCACTAAGATTCACGAGTTATGAATTACAGTATGCACACTGATTACATCCCATTACGGCGGGCTACACTAACACCTCCTAGCAGAGCACAAAATTGAGTTCGGAAGCTGGAATTTAAACGTGGTGGTCTCACTCCAGAATTAGCTTCACTCTGGCATCTTCATCACTTCTCCCCACCTCGCCCGCCGTTCTGTACGCACAGAGCATGATGCTGTGCCTCAGGAGTCCACAGAGTTCGTTACAGAATTACTCTAGCAGAGAAGTGGTTAGTTAAACCTTCTTGTCCTGGTTTTGTCAGTGAAACCTGACATCGTATTCCTGCCTGAATGATGCTGAAGGGGTATGCCATCTCTCTTTCCAACAGAACTTCAGATAAGAAAATGTGCTGGTTTCTTAGGTAATTTCTCCTGAGTTTTTCTATAGTCCCAGAGGCTCTAGAGCTTCTGCCACTCAGGCTTCATATCAGGAGTTTATTTGATGCTTCCTCTTCTCTCAAAGATAAAAGCTGATCACACAAGGCATCCTGAAATCATACATCTCAACTCCAGATGTTTCAAAAGGCATTTCTGTAGAACTTGCCCAAGAACAAACACCTCAATAGAGACGGAACGCTGACTTCTCCTTCTGTAACAAAAGAAGCTGTTCTTGAACAACCAAACCTCAGGTTGTAGAAGGGTATTTTATAATGCTGAATCAAAGTGTTCATCTAGAACTTTACAAATTCTTATTTCTCATTTGCTCTGTATTTTAAAATCCGAGACATAATTTATATGCAGTGGAACCCTGAGATCTTAAGTGCAACATTCAGTCAGTTTTGATGGATGCGCATCAAGCCACAGGATGGTTCGATCGACTCAAAGTTCCACTGTGCCTCTTCACAGGTTAAGATCCTCCCCCCACCCTACTCCTGGAAACCCCCAATCTGATTTTGTCACGAGTTTAGTTTTCCTATTCTAGGATTTCATATAATGGAATCACAGAGTACACACACTTCGTGTGCCCCAGCTTCTTTCACTCAGCATTATTCATGAAACTCTTCCGCATGCTGCACGTGTCAGTGGCATACTTGTTTGGACAGCTGAGGTGTACTTCATTTATTTATCCACTCTTCTTCTATGGCCATTGGAATGTTTTTGGATATTGTGATAAAAGCCACTGTGAAAATTCTCATATAAGGTATTTTTGTGAATGTAGTTTTTCCGCTCCATTTTCTGAACACACACCTAGACGTGGAATTACTGGGTCATAGGATAAATGAATACTTCTCTCACATTTTCTATATGAAAAGCATTATGTAGAGGTTACTGAAACATCAGGAATAATGTGCCTTTGAAATGCAGAAGTTTAAAAAATATAACAAACACCTGCTAACTCTTCTACAGGTCCACTGTCCCATATCTAAAACCTGTGGCATCCTAAGTATTTTGAGAATTTTTCAGATATGTATAAAGATATTATACCAAGGATTACATAACATCCCCATTGGGTCTGGAGGAGTCCTGCAATAATCCAAGCTGTGACAAACATAAAAATAATACACTAAGTAGGATAAAGACAGATTATTTTTCTTTTCTGAACTTCTTGGGGGTTTACAATTATGGAAGACAGATTATGAATCTGTATAAATAATCTATGCATAATTATCTATCATACTCTATAGTCTATTATAATAATAATATAATAACTTACCGCTACATTACCGGCTATATTTAACACCTATGTTAAAGTGACAGAAATAGGTCATGGTTAATACTAGACTGAGAATGCAGAGGTCTTAGCATTTTAAAGTAGAACAACTTATACGCTGCTCTATGTTATTAAAGCTAGATATCAGATTTTCATCATCTAAACATTTATACTTTATAACACTTCTGTGGCACTGGTACTGTGTTATCCCTGAGGCCTAGACAGGTTAGGCAGCTTATCTAATGTCGCATATGGTCACACTGTCAAACTGCCTTCTAACCCAGCATACTCAATCTAAACTCCTTATCATACCCTCTCCTCGGTGCAGTGCCTTTAAGTGGAATTATCCTTTGGATTCATCGAAGACCTCAAGTAACAAATTAAGAAAACCATGTTTATTTGGCAGCTTTTAAATTTAAAAAGTACACATTAAAACAAACTCCACTACAATAATGTAATTAATTACAAAAGAGAAGTGAAGCAAGTATATGAATATTTCCAAATCATTAAAACGTGATTAGTAAAATAACTTTCCTATAAGAAAAGTCTAAACTCTCCAGCTTAGCAATCAAGGCACTTAACATCTGTCTATAAGCAGCCTCATTTGCAAATATTTTGCTTTAGCTAAAATCGTCTTCCCACTATTCCTAGAAGCCTGCTTGTGCTTTTTTGCCCCCAACGAAGACAAGATCCTATCCAGAAGCATCCTCTGCATACTTCTTTTGA